CCGGCACAACGGGGCCCTGATCTAGGCTGGGGCAGGGACTGTCTCTCCCTGTGTCTGTGCAGCGCCCGGCAGAACGGGGCCCTAATCTGAGCTGGGGCAGGGGACTATTGCATACAGTGTGAGAGAATTGTCCAAAGCTAAAAATAAACCAAGGTCACCCCGCCTGGATTTTCCCCTGCATTCATATATGGCATCCGCTCTAGGGGAAGATAATAGCTGCACCTGAGTCTCTGGCAAGAAGTAACATCATCTAGAGGAAGAATATTGTCTCCTGCCCCCATAGTTCCAAGAGACGTGATCTCCTCCTTGCCAATGCAGTGTTCACTCTGAAGCCTACTGATGACAATCTAAATGACACCCTGGGTAAACACTTTGTGGCTTAGCCCAGGTGGCCTCAGCAAGCCCAGACAAAAGAGAGAACTTGTGGCTAGTTAGACACCATTAAGGACCTTGCAGGTTTAGTTTCAGGAGTCAGGCTTGCAACAGCCCTTGTGCTCTTCTTCCTTTATATGCAGGTGCCGCGGCGGCCTGGTACTGGTGTATGTTTCCTATCTTGAGTCTGCTCCGATGGCCGTAGGTTTGCATCTCTGCTTGTGAGCTAAAGCACAGACTTGAGAAGCGTAATGGAAGCAGCGTCACCCTACGAAGAGTTCTTTACTCACCCACAAACACCCAGAGCGGTAACCAAACAACTCAGCAGGAGACAGCTCCCTGCAGCCCATTGGCCTCCTGAAAGCTGATAACCACACGGTCTGTTTCACACAGACTCTGTCACGCACACCCACACACACAGAGTCCCTTTCACACTCACCTCCCAACACAAACTTAGATTATTGTTGTTATTACTACTTGGTACAACCTGCAATGCACGTATATTCTCCGTAATTTTATACTTTCAATGGGTGCTATTTTAATGTTTTGACGGCTCTGTGCATTTCATCATTTTTATTTCTCTCTTACACTTACCTTTAATTCTTTGAGCAGTGAGTTCTAAAATGCCGAACCTGTCCTGGCCGGACTAATTATCCATCTGGTAATTTTTAAAATATATATATATTATATCTAGGTTTTTTGTGTCTACTGGTGGTGCACATCCGCACATCCACACATGCCTTGGTGCACATAACACAATGTATTCTGCACATGGATGGAAAAAAATAGAGGGGACATTGATGATTGAGAGTCCTTTAAAAAAAAAAAACGTATTGTAAGAAAGCCCTGGAGGTCAGGGCTATATTGATCCACTGGCCACTCAGCACTTCATAGCAACCCTGGGGGAAGGAGGCCTGTTACTGGAGAACCGACCCCTGGAGCCAGGAGAATCTCTCAGAGCCATCAGCAGCTACGCAGTAGTAGCGATGATGCACTTTTTGCAGGTTCCTATTCTGTTCATTAGACTAGAGGATGGTAGAGTTAACACTAATTATGTTAGTAATTACACACACACACACACACACACAGACCGGATCTGCTTCCTTCGAGCAGGGGACAGTAACAGACACAGAGTAAGTGCAGATGGCACACACAGCAGGTCCAATGTCCCCCAGCAGAGGGCAGTAACACACACATACACACACAGACAAATTTCAGAGTAGCAGCCGTGTTAGTCTGTATCCGCAAAAAGAACAGGAGTACTTGTGGCACCTTAGGCCTGGTCTACACTAGGACTTTAATTCGGATTTAGCTGCCTTAAT